TATGATGAAAGTGGAGGACAGCAGACTTTCTCTGCCTTGGACTACGTAGCCAAGACTCCCAGCTGGGCTCTGTTTGGAGCCCAAGAACAAGGTTTCGACCCTGCTGAGACACGTTTCCAACGACGCAACAAAAGCAAAGACATCTCAGGATGCTGATAGATGAGCGAGCGAGAGAAACCAGACAGAGGTAGAGTTACTATAGTGAGCGCCAATACTTAAATAAAAAACGGAAAATTTGGGGTTTGTTGTTTTTATTGCTATCCTCTTGGAGCTTCAGCGTTATTTGTGTGTCTGTATGTCCACAGCTGCCTTCCTTGTCATGTGGACTCCCTGGTTTAATTTCTCTTATATTTCATTTCTTTTGACATAACCTCTAAAATCAGTCATGGACCAGAAGAAATTTACTCACTCCTATTTTCTAGGAATTTGCCGGAACAACAGGTTATTTACAACATCAGGTTATTGCTTCTTTTTCTTCATAGATGTGCCTAGATCTTTAAAATACCCCACTTTTTAAAATTATTATTATAAATAAGAATGGCATTGATCCTTGTAATAGCAGTGGCAATATTTTACTTTGTTGAAGCCATTGACAGGTTTTTCTCACGATCTCATCTTCATTTCTAAAGCTTTTAAATCCAGGTTTTAGTGATGCAACTGCACAGCACAGGACAAGATTAGCACATAAGGAGTAGTGCTTATATTTCCCCTTATGTTGTCCTTGGGAGCGCCGCATCTTTCCCGGGCACCTTTGCTCTTCCTCCTACTCATTAGGACTGTGGTTGTTTTTATTTAGAAGGAAAAGAGTTGAGCGGTGAGAAAAGAGCATCAAGGCTGCACCTCCATGGGAGAGTCTTTTTACAGCACATGCTTCTTGATGCTCTTTTTTTCCAGTTTTCTTCCAATGCTTTGCATTCTCTCTTTTCTGACAGTGTCACCTGTGACTGGTTTCAGCACTTCGTATCTGGATGATAGAAAATATGTAGCTTTTCAAACATATGTGACTGTTTTATTAAAAACAAAATCGTGTGTTTGAAGTATTTCAGTACCGCAGTCATAAAAAAAGTCAACATTTTGTGTTTGATCATTTGAGCTAAACTAAGAAATGTTTGAAATGTTTAATATGATAAAGCAGGCATGGTTCTCTCACTGTTTTACATCAAAAACACACAATGTTAGTCTATAACAGGTCATAGCTTAATTTAAACAACACTGGGTACAAAGATGAACCAGATTAAGTTTCAAGTTTAGATTGGATTGGTACTGAAATGTTGCTTTTTGCTGGTTAAATTCATATGTACCATCAAATGTTTGTCATGTCAGAACAATGCAGAACCTCTACTAGTTTGTTACTCAGTCCATATGTAAAAAATCCAATATAATTTTTTCTTACATGGATGAAAATCTACAGAATCACATGAATTTGGTTTGTTTTCTCAGGTGTCTGACGTGGCGGTGTGTTAATGTATCACTGTAATAAATGTCTTTGCAATAAAGTTCTTTCTCATTCGTGAATTTCATACAGTTCAACGTGATCTTAAAGCAAATAACAATAACTTACTGTACTTCTCGCAGATTTTTGTTGACTTTTTACTTGCAGCAGTACTGAGAAGTTGACATTTTAACAAA